GGAAAGGGAAGTTCTGTGCCTTGGAAAGAGGTTAGCAAAAGAATATACTGTAATCAGTTGAATATACACCTCAAAGATACTATGCCAGGGACAGGATGCAGGAAGAATCCTGTTAAATGGGGGAAAAAATGGCCTATTAATGTTTGTGGGCGTGACTCTTCCTAGGACCTCTGGAAAGGACTTTGGAAAAATAGGAAAAAGCAGTCAGACTTCTGTCCACAAACCCTATGAAGCAGGTACTATACTTTTATAAAGAGGTTTAATTACTCCGTGTATTAATTTCCTATCATTGCTGTAACAAATTACCACACACTTTGTGGGGCCAGCAGGTGGCATGATGGCTAAGGTGTTGGATTTGTCAAAGGATGGAAGAGTGCTGGGCTGCACTGAGTAAAATCCTTATTCCTTTAGGTCCAGATCACTAAAATTAGAGACCTACCCCTAGGCGCAAAATAAAACCTTAACCACAATAAAAGTAGGTAGAAAGAGAATTTAATAGGAAAGAAAGATTTTAGAAAAGTACACCTCCGAAAAGGCTTTTAGGCAGGCAGGTTTCTAGGTAGCAACTGCATTTGGTACTGGTTTAGGTGTTAGTACCAGTTGTGAAAATGAATGTTTAACAGTGGGAGGTCTGTCATACTATCTATGTTCTTCCGTTGAATTCCCAGGCTTCTTCCTGTGCTTGCATCTCTTTCACACAGGTGAAGAATTTGAGGAATTTAATGACCTAACTTCATGTCCAGTGTGAGCCATGATGACAGGAGCATCCTAATTAGGATGAACTGGCCAATTAGTTTATTACCCCAGTGAGAATTAGGATGTTGACCAAAATGTTTGATTGGGTCGTTTTGTATTTATAAGGACTGATAAGAGGGAAATTTGCAATCATCCCTATGTGTCATCCATACATACCCCCCCCAAAAAAAAAATGGGATTTGCCTTGCCTTTGTGGGTGGGAAAGCACTTTCATGGAAGGTTCGTTTGTAACTCTGGATTAAGTTGTGATCGATGTGACAGGTGTCCTTCTTTTATTTTCTTAGGACTGCCTGCTCAATACTAGCTACCTGACTATCACAGACTACCACTTGGCTGATTGCAGTTCGGGTCCTGGCCTTGAAAATCACGCCAGGCACGTGTAGCATGGGTGCCCAAAATCCCAAGAGGAAAATGAAGATGAAGGGACTGTGGCATGGCTATTCCTCCTCCTTGGGGGTGGGGGATGGATTTCCTTTCCTTCTCACTGTCTCTGTCTCTCTGGTGAGCACACCTGCCCTATGACAAAACAACAAGAAAAATAATACAGTTTTATTTTCTTACAGTTTTGAAGGTTAGAAATCTAATGGTTCTCATGGGTCTAAAATCAAGTTGTCAGTAAGGCTGTGTTACTTCTGGAAACCTTGGAGGACAATTCATTAACTTGTCTTTTCCAGTCTTGGCTTCTAGCCCTTATCCTATCTTCAAATGTATGATTCTGACTTCTTCTACAGCCCACCTTCTCCACTTTATTTATTTTTATTTTGTTAAATAATTATTTATTGAATTTTATTTATTATTTCATTTATTTTAATTTGACCAGAGAGAAAGACAGAGAGAGAGAGAGAGAGAGAGAGAGAGAAAAGTGAGAAAGCAAGCCACCAGCTCCAGGACTGGAACCATGGTCCCTCTTCTCCACTTTATTTTTTTATTTTTATTTTTATTTTTTTCCTCTTCTCCACCTTAAATGACCCTTGTGATCATATTGGATTCACCAGGATAATCCAAGATCATTTCTCTATTAAAATGAACTGATTAGGAATCTTAATTTTATCTGCCATCTATTTTTTGAGAGGTTTTTGCTATAGGGTGTGTGCGCTCACCAGAAAGAGACAGAGAGACAGAAAATGAGAAGTCACCCCCCAGGACGGATGGCCACACTGCTATCCCTTCTCCTCCCTTCTCCTCTCCGGATCTTGGGCACACATGCACATGCGCCCGGCGTGAGTTTAAGCCACCAGGTCCTGGACTCAAACTGCGGTCAACTACACGGGAGTCTAGCGACATAGCCATTGCTAACTGCTGGTCCCTTTATCTGCACACTTAATTCCCCATTGCTACCTATGAAAGCTACCTCCCTATGTTCCAGGGAGCAGGATGTGGACATTTGGGGGTTGGGATTGGGGGTCGTGGAGATATCTCTAAGTGCTGCTCGCTTAAACTGGAGACAGATAACGTTACTGATGACTCGGGCTCAGGGGTGATCAGGTCCACACAGAATGAGCCACGGAACCTTGTCCGACGCTCAGGAAGAATTAGAGACCAGATACAGAGAGTATGTATAGCAAAGCAGGGAATGTATTCAAAAGGGAAGGAAAAAAATAGCTCCCAAGAAGAACAGAAGGGTCCCAGGAAGTGGGTTGCCAAGGGAAAACTGTGGTGAGGGGGTTTTATTTGGGTTATGAAGGGCTTAGTCCGACTTGTTCTAAGTGGGCTTAGGCGTGCATTACCCTCCTGGTGGGGCTGGTGCATGCATTACTTACAGAGGCTGGAGGGGTCCAATTATTCTCCTAATTTGAATGATTAGGAAGGCCAGGATATTCTTTGTCTTGGGTTATGAGTTATTCAAGAGCAAGACTTACATATCTAAGGTCAATGGAATATGGTGACAGAGAAAAAGAATGGTCAGGCACTACACCTCAGTGCTCTCCTCTGGGGGTGGGAGTGGGCCGCAAATGGAGCCCAACTCCCGTCTCCACACGGGACACTTTCCTTCAACGATACTGGCATTATTCAGAAAGGACGGGAACAGCAACACGTAAACGTGCTCTTCGTAGGCCCGGCTACTCCGAGAACCGTGCCTCCCGCAAGACCCAAGCAGCTTCCTTGGCGGCAACCCGAGAGACGACCCACGGCCCACCCCGCGGAAGTACGCCGAATGCCTGTCGGAGGAGCCGACGCGGGTCGCCTGGGAGGTCGGTGAGCGTCCCCGCCCCGATTGGCGGTCTCCAAAGGAGGGAACTCCGCGAGTGATCGGGGCGTGGGGCGAAGGGAGTGGGAGATGCGCTCTGGCGCTCGGGCCTGCACCCCAGCTCCGCCCCGCTGTCCCGGCCGAAGGCAAACCCACTGCGGTCGGCCTCGGAGCGCAGCGCTTTACTGGCCCCAGGCGGAAAGGGTCTGTCTGGGGCGACTTGGTCTCGGGTGAACCGGGTGACTGGGGTCCCCCATGGGGCGGTCACTGCACGCGCACCTGCTACACTTAACCTGTGTCTCACCTGTGTTCCCACTTCTGGACATTTTGCGAGTGACTTGTATGTGTTTTGTTTTTCATGGTATCTGCATGCGAAGGAACCGATATACATTTCGCCACACGCCAGATACGTTCCGGTGTTGTAGTTATTTTATGGGTGTAATACTGAGTTACAGGAGCAAAGGTTGGCAGAAAGTATCAAATGTGGTGTTCAGCTAAGGAAAGTCTGGTAAACACATTACATAGACTAAACGCCCTGAAGGAAAGGAATAGAAACATGGAAAAACTTGGCCTCCTTGTTAAATCGTGTTAGTAATACCAGGGGTCAGTTAGAACACTGGTAAAGGACTTCTTTCTTTCGAGTGCTGAAATACCGAAGACCTAACTGTTCTGGGAAAGGATTGTTTTCAAAGACAATGCATCTGATTTAGTTATATGAGGAAATTATTTTAGTTTTTTCTGGTAATTCTGCGATAAGCTCTATGATATACAGGGATACAAACCAGGCAAAGTGTTAGAAACTTTATATTCATAATCTTTTTTTTTTTTTTTAAAGAGAGATCTTTGCTGTAGGGAGAGAGAGACAGACAAAAAGTGAGAAATCGCCACCCCCCCCCAAACCCCCAGGGGGTATGGACACTTAGCAATCCCTTCTCCATTCTCCTCTTGGAATCTTGGGCACCCATGCACATGCTCAGCATGAGGCCTGAGTTTTAAGCTGCTGAGCCTGGGACTCCACTGGCTGTGGGCTATGTGGGAGTCCAGCAATTTAACTATTGCTCCATCTGCTGCTCCCTATATTCATATTCTCTTAAGTATTAAGCAATACACTAGCTGCTTCTTGGAAGTATAGATGAAGAGACTGAAGACAAAGACCTCCACTGTGGGTTTAACATCTTTTCTGAGGTCCAGGCACCTCTAGCTCAACGTGTCCGAAGTGGAACACGCATCTCCCTATTTCCCTTAGTGCCTTTCCTGTCTTGGAATGGTATCACTATTTGTCTAGGTTGTTTTAGAAAACCGGGAACAACCATGCCTCCTTGTCTCTGTGCCCTTTCTTAATCTTTTATATCACCAAAAGTCATTTTTCCTGCCTTTTCTATTGTTGAAGCCTCCTAATTGGCCCATGTCTCTCATCTGGGTTTTATGTCCCTCCACCATCTGGCTCATTCGCTCTGCAGCGCTGGGGGTGATTTGTCTAATATGCAAGTATGATGATTATACTGCTCTCTTGGTTTAAACCCTTCAGAGAAAGGCCATTAGTTACCCTGAATATAAAATCCGCAACCTAAATTTGGTTTACAGTGACTTTCACATAAGGTCCTGTCTACTTTACCAGCCTATTACAGTCTTCTTTCAATTTCAGTTTCATCTGAACACCATTTCTTTTGCTCTTGAATATGCAATTCCCTCTGACTGAATCACTCTATCCCCCACCT